AATAGGTCACCACCACCCAAGTAAACTCGGTTTTCGGGAAGCTGATGAAGCGACATTGATTCATTCAGAATTTCAAATACATTCAAAGAATCATAAAAAGGAAAGGGTACGGAGTTATTCTATTAATCAACGCAGATGCTACAGAGTAAACTAGGCACGCAACTGCGTTCAATATTGAGCACAGGAGTTTGCATGTAGTTTGATAGATACCATCAGTAGGTGTCTGTGAAAAACTGCGGAATGGCTCGTTTTTCGGCAGCATTCGGCGGCACGGATGTAAGTAAGCAGTCGGCCATTCATGTGAGATCCATTTTTGGACACTAATTTATTCTATCTAATCTCCAAATATCTGCGATCATACCAATATTGAGGTAATTGTCGAAGATATATTAAATGTGGTGTGACTCATTCAGTACGGTCTAATTACATTAATATTTTGAAAGCACCAGCTCTCTTTGTGTGACTTTGGTCTTTTGAGTTCCTGCAACCATCCCTTTGTTTGAGTGGTGCAGATGCAGTTGAGCTCATGAAGACGGGCAGGGAAAGTGAAACTGGCAAGGGGAATCTAAACTCGGAATTTTATTTCATCTGCATCCACCTCACTACGCTGGCTTTAGGGGCCCTTCCTACATACCTGCCGTGAAAACCTCCATAAGTTACGGTAGTTACAGTTGTATGGAAGTTCTCCCTTCCTTTATCTTACATTTAATTGCCAAAGTTAAGCTCTTGACGCGAGTAACCTGCTTGTACTTGTGACCCGGATCTTTCATCTTTCGAAGTCGTTTAAGTAATGTTGATGAAAATCAACTTGCCTTTAGACAATTTCAGTAAGCCAAAATATGTGGAAGCAAAATTACTATATTCTACAAAGTAGTCGCATTGAATTGTCAGAGCATCGTCATAAAAAACGAAAATTCACTTGGGGATAACATCGAATGGAGCCTTATGATGTGATATATGGGACGGTTTTACCGTTTAAAAGCCTTAAATGGAAAACAGCTATTGTGATAACATTAGCCCTACTGTACATGATGGGGCACAATGTTAAGATCTGGTTGTCTGTGTGAAAAACAACTACCCGATGTTTGTATAAACGGCGTCTAGCCACATGATTATTCTAATCGACAAGTGTCGTAACTAGCTACAAAGCAAACTGGACGACCTGGTTTCATCACTAGCATCGAAGAAACTTGTCTTCAAAATGTTTCAATCTGACGCAGATATTTTGGGAGCTGTGTAGCCGTTTTCGGAGGTGACCGCTTAAAAGTTATTAATAATTAACTTTATTTTTATTAACTAGCAGTTTATAGTTATCGCTGAGTAGATGAATAGTACCGACACCGAACCTCATTAACATTGATTAACGTAAGTGATAACACATCCACCACCATCTGAGGTTTTCCTGCGCAGTCAGACATGATCGAAAAGTAGCCATCGAATTGAATGACTTAATTTTTTACATCACTGAGCAACCAGGTTTATTGTGACAAAATACTACATGATTTATATACTATCTTTGTTGCATAAAGGTACTAAGGACAATAAACTTACCAAGAAGATAGCGCAGATTAATAGTATTTTTATGACTAGTGATTTATCGAGACATTATTGTCAACGAGCACAATGTTTTGCCCGTTTCCAATAGGTTTCACTTCGTTCAACTTAAGAAATCCCGGTGTTTTCCATTTGGTCTCTCAATGTCATTATATGTGCATAGTATCCACATATGCAAAAGAACATTAAAGATTTTTCATTTTGGTTATATATTTTATTCCTACTTTCTAACTGCAAAGCTGCACAATAATATCTGTTTTAATTTTCTAGTAAAAAATAGTTGTACCCATGCGACCGAGAAAGCCCGTAGACAGTCACGATAACCGTAGTACGCTAATTCGTTTTTTACTTGTTAAATTGCACTAATAATTCTAAAAATAAGCAGTCTCGGTTAGCTAGACAAAACCCTGTCGAAATTGCGATAAGCATGTCAGTCAGCACAAGTGATAACAGGACGATTCACGAATTGCAAGTGATATTGTGATTGGTTTGCTAAATTCTTGTGATAATTATTCACAGTGGCTCGCGGAAGGGGAACAGCAGATGGTGCTTTAGGAATACTTGTAGCTGTTAATTATAACGTCTGGAGACGATAGGAATATGAGATTGATGATGATTTCACTATACAGGAGTCCGCAGAAAATTAAATCAACTATCTCACCACATACACAGCTTCAGCCCGTGTAAACTAGAGCACAGAGCTTGTACACAAAAGTGGACAAACGCCTTGCTACTTGCACTCATGTATTCGTTCGCACCGATGGCGTACGCGGGGCCACGCCAACCTTATCTTGGCCCGTACCACGTCGTGCGCATAAGTGACAAGTTTACCATTGAGTACATTGGTAAAACTGAGCAGATCAACGCTGCCCGACCTAAACTCGCAGTTCTTGATGACTCTGATACTCCTGTGTAACAACTTCCCAATCGGCCTGCGCCATCGTGGCCAGTACCACAACCCCAGACCAGTCATTCTGCTCCAGCTGGATTTATAGTCACAACCGACCGATTTGCGAGGGAATTATAACCCTGTGCATCTCTCAGACTTCATTAGTGTGTTTCATTTTTCGCAGAGCATAACATTATAGGTTCATGTCCCAATTTAATGCTCATACGAAGTTTTCCAAAATCAAAGACGACTAATACGCTTTGAAAATACTAAGAAAGAAGATAACCGATTAAAAACTCAACATCAGCTTCTCACGTTTTCTCATTACACCATTTTTGTATGTGTGGCTATGCATTTATGCCGCTGCTTTCCATGTGCGCACCGTTGTTTGGTTGCACCCTGGTTGCAAGAGCCTCTGGATCCCCGCAGATCACTCGAAGCACAGTGCTTCCCATGCCCAATTAGCTACTCGAACTTCCCGAATTGTTTCACTGCAAACACATTTTTCCGTTTTGTCTCCGTTTGGAGGACGCTAGTGTGAACCCGCTAGGATTCATTCCATTATTTCCCGCAGAAACTGCATAGTGTGCAGTTTACACTACTACAAGGCCCATTGGGTCGCCGTGGCCGATGGGCTCACAGAAAGCTGGCCGAAGACGGATATTTCTAATGTAGACCGGAGGACTTCTTACGAGTCCGTCTTCGGGTGGACAATGCAACATTGGAAATTTTCACAAAATTCCAACCAAATTTGCTATTTCACTGTGCAACTAGTTGACTGTTGCGAAACCTTGAATTTCATGTTGATTTCGACTGTTTGAATCATGTAACGTTATCTTGCTTTGGTGCTCGGCTGATTCCCCAACGTGTGGTCTTTTCGTGTGTTGAATATTTTTGAGTGCTTAACAAGCAACCGCATCGCTGTCGTGTTTATAGCTTCGCCAAACAGTGTACAAATTCAAAGCTTCCCTACACTCGATCCGCCTTCGGGAACTGCCATCTGGGTTCCAGCTAGATAACTACGCTCTCTTAAGTTGCGTCTCTTAAGTTGCGTGGACTTAGCTTCAGTGTAACAAACAGTTGCTTAACCCCTCCAGAAACGAGATCGCTATGCGCCACAGGTGGGTCTAGGTTCAACAACCAGTGTATTCTTCTCCGACTGCTATTGGTTGACTTGTGATTGGTCACTACGATGGTAGGTATTTATGCATGTGTGCACAAAATAGAATGCAACCTAAACTCTTTGTGAACTAAGTTGTTCTTCCTTACGTAGGAACATGAGTACCTTAAGAAGCATTTCCATGGTACTATATATGAGAATGGCTAGGAAAATATGTGATGGACACGTTAACATTTTTCCTCCCAGATGTTTTTTGCTTGCATAACGTGTCCTGAAATCCAATGGATGCCTCTTTGTTGGTGATCTTGAGCGGTCGGTGCTAGTGGTTACTTGTCTCCTTTGTGGAACAAATTTAATTTTGTAATCTTTTGACATCTTTGTGGTCTATTGGTCCGTTTACTTTATTAATATGCTGTCTAGTCGCAACGCAATCCACTATCTATTTCAACTTTTGATTAGAAAGGAAAGCGTTGCTTAATGTACTAGACTATTCATGGCTTGCACGACTAGCCGTCTACTTGTTTCAAAGCACTAAAATTTGGCATAAAAATTCAACTGAAAATTGTGACGGTGTGGCCATTTCTTCTTCCATGCTGTAATAGTATATTTTCTTCTGTTCAACATACCGTTCCGTTCGTCATTTGAAGGTTAGACGAACTGGCAATCGAGATGACGTTCATTATCACCCGTCGTCAATTTTCACTTCTTTGTTCTTGGTGGCGTATCTAGCCACGCGATCGCTTTCACCCAATAACAGCAGTGAAAACAAAAACGAGCAGAATCAGGAATCCATATGCTTTTACATAGGAATCTACCTTAGTACATGGCATAACGCAAAACATGAAAGCCAACCAGAGTGCGGAAAGCCCTCCTCAAGACCGTTCTTTTTGGTTTCTTCCAGAAGTTCGACCTTATTTGTGAAGCATCTCAAAACCAAACTTCTCAGCTTCATTAGGTAACTGACTCCTTGGACTCCGCCTATGCGACGTGCTGTACCATCCACACTAACACTAGTAATGAGACTTTCTGTTATTTATAGTTGTATTTATTAGAGTAGGTCGGGTTAAAGCACGACTAAAACTCCCGTAAGCATTATCTTCGTCCACAATTTAGACAGAATACCAGTGACCTATATTTTCGGTCACGGAACGCCTATGCAGGGCACATTAACAGTAATGTACATGGCTGCAATATTGCCACCCGACTCTGAGGGTGATAGTACGATCTTTGACCATCCTGTTCTGCACTAGGCTAATGGATGTAGCGGTCACATGGGTACATTCCGTCACATGCTTTAGCTAATTTGAATTTTGTCCTTATTTGCGGCCAACATATTGGGGTCTCCAAGTGCTTGAAAAGCAGTCACAAATTATTAGGCAAACTTGACTGAGGGTGTGGTCTGACCAATATATAAAATTTACATGGCCAGACTTAATAATTCGTCAAAGCAGAGTGAATATAAGTCAACTAGTAGGGAATGTCAGCTTCTTTGGTTTTGCATTTCGTACCGGATTGCATTTTTTTGGTTAGATACAGGAACTTAAGCGCTGTGTAATACTTGAAATTATGATTCGAGTGACAAGGAATTGAATCAGCGACATGTATGGATTGCTTCTCGAAGGATTCAAGGAATATATATCTGCAGTGTACGGCGATGATATGTGGTGGTTGGCCTACCAGCACGTCACGGGTAAACGTCAGCTTATCCAAACCCGGGATATGTATCCAGAGTCATTTTTGCCCGACGTAGTAAAATACTTGTCTGATATAATGGATGTCCCCGAGCTCGAATTGTACTATGAATACGGTTACTTCTTTCTGAGATTTCTCACAGAATCTGGTTATGGAAGCCTTCTGCGCGTGCTTGGAAGGGGATTTGTAGAGTTTTTGCGCTCCCTGGATGATCTACATCATCATCTCAGCTTCACTTACCATAAAATCAAAGCTCCCACTTTTACAATTGCCGCTATAACGGACACGACCATTACCTTGCTATACGAAAGCAAGAGAGATTACTTTGGTCACTTCGTCTGCGGTCAGTTACTTGCAGCTGCGACTGTATTCTATCATACGGAGGTGGAAGTAACATTGATAAGTCGGGTTGGAAACACCAACACGACCACATTTACATATGAAATAAAGAATTTAGGCGGAACATGGCCTACGGAAATTGTAAAGAACGAGTTACCCGAAGAATTTGTCGACGGAGTCCAGCTCTTACCAGTCATCCAGGGCAGCGCGTTTTTTCCTCTGTTTCCCTTCCATATACTCTTCAATGAATCGATGGATATCATAAGCGCTGGAGATGGCTACAGGCGGATTGTACCTAATTTAGAACGGAAGAAGTTAACGGATCTCTTTCTGATTTCAAGACCGCCCATCTACCCAAATGCATCCGAGGTAACTGATATATGTTAGGCGAAGCTTTTATACAGTCTGCGCGAAAAATAGCACCTATTATTGGCATTCAATCCTTGAGATTACACGTATCGTTAGTTAAGCACAAATACTTGAGATCCGTTTTGAAACAGAATGTTCTCATAATAACTGTTATTATACTTCCTTCATTGCGAAATTCGCTAGTAGCTATATAATTTTTGAAGAAGAGATTCATCGTTAAACTGCTGAGTTGTAAACTTCGGACTTATACTTAAAAGTGCTCATTAGCGTGCAATTATTACGTCGACGTACCAGGATGAGCGCTGCTTCAGTATCATACATCTCTACTTTTCCAAATGGCATATGGGAGTAAAATTAGTTGTTGGCATATAATCTTACCATGGTATAATTTCATTCCTCTTCGAATCCATTTATATTTCAGTGATATTACAGTCCAACCCACATAACAGGTAAGATAATGTGCATACTTAAGTCCTACAAATATATGTGACTGTACTAATAAGCAGTCGGTTCAGTCCGATGAAAGAATTGTTCGCATGTGGATCGAACTACTCACACCCTTTTCTATTGCTCCCTACTAATCGGATACGTTAATGCGTCCAATTTCATGAAGTCGTGGATTGTTTGAGGGCGTGCAACACAATGAATTGGAATGACCGAAGCAGCTACGGCAGCTACATGCATTTTTCGAACCATTATTTGGCATACTGTGCCACAATCACGAGCCGTTTAGATGTTGCAGGTTCTATGGGATCAGGCCTTTGCCCAACAAGGGAATCGAATGTGCGCAATCAGGACGAGTGCACAAAGATAGCGATGGTTGGACGAGCCTGGTAAACAAGTGAATTGTGGAGTGATTAGGAAGGTGTGAACGCGAAATATCTACAAACGTGATACCGGAAGCTACATGTAAAAAGAGTAAGAAAATAAACAGATAATCATTTTGATTTGTATACTTTACTACAGGTAGTATACGATCCCTATTTAGGAGCAAATTTTTATACCCAGAAACAGTGTTGGAGGTCCCGTGATCTGACAACTAAGGCAAACTCTTCTGGTTCTGAATTCCTTCAACCTCCCTTTCTAACAGTGTTAATGTGTTACACCTTTTTAGATCGACAATGTGATCCATTGTAATTATTTCATTTAATATGATTGTTTGTGTCAATCTATTTGGGGTTATTGTACAGCGAAACTCTAGAGCATTCAAGGGGTGGCAGCGACAGAATAAGTTGCTTGTTGGCTTCTAGACCTAAATATGTCGGTTAGATCAGACCCCACTTAAAATCCGGTTGTTTTCGGCCCAATGTTGTTATAGTAAGGATGGTTTCTAGAGTTGTTCCGAATATGGCCAGGCTTGCACACGTGCGTACCTGCAGTGGTAGTTGTTTCCGCAGTTTGGTATTTCTCACATAGAGGTAGGTTAATCGCATTTTATATTAGGTTGTTCGGAAAGTTATTTCGTATTTTGCTATGAAAAGGAGACGATTTTCCAAGAGTGAATAAGTGTTTTATAGAATTATATATTGTTCATCCTGGTCCAATACTTTTTGCCATCTTTCTAGCAGTAGCTTGATTCCACGCACATAAAAGTTTGTTGTTTGCTGACAAACAACCTATCCAGGTGATTTTTGACATTCTCCTTTGAAGTAAAGGTTATACCGTCTAAAAGGGTTTGTGGAAGCGGGAACAACTAATAATCAGCAGGTGTCAGACCTGGAGAATTTGGTCGGTGTGACAGTGTATCCCATCCAAGCTGTAAAAGCTTTTGGCGAGTTATCAACATTTTATGAGGTCTCGCATTATCTTGGTGGAACACAACACCATAACTACTGATTAATGCTGGCCTTCTCACTTTAAGTGAATCATTCAGTTTGTCCAGCTGATGACAGTACACTTCAGAATTGATCGTTGTGTTGTCCGGTAGAAGCTAAAAAACCATTCCTTCGAAATCCTACAAAACAGATAGCATCACCATTTTTGATGAATTTCGGCTTTCAAAGTAGTTTAAGCCAGTTCATCATTGTTGCTTCATGATCATTTGCATTTAACATTGAATTTGATAACCCATTTATTAATCCTAGTGATGAAATACTTCAAAACTGGATCATTTTTTGACGATTGTGAAGCAACTCACAGACGTTAACGCAGCGGCCCAAATTACATTCCTTAAGAACATGAGAAACCCATATGTCTAGCTTTGAGATGAAACCTAGGCGTTTCAAAGGATCATGAATGGTCGAATTAGATAAAAATAAACTAGCGACCTCGCGAGCTGTTATTCGCCGGGTTTAATCAATCAATGCAAATTACTTATTTAATGTTATTAATTATTAGTGCAGTTAATTACTTTTTTATCGGATCGAACTTTTGCAAACCAGTTTTGGCACGGGCGTTATATCAATATATATTCTCCATACATAACCGAGGATTCGTTTTACTTGAACAGCCTTTTTAGGTCTTTCATAGTAAAAAAGTAAAATATGCCAAAAATGCTGCTTTTCACTTCCCATATTTGAAAGGGCACCAACCAAAAACTACTTCGTAGAACCAATCGAACTTTTGCAAAAGCAACCCTGCTATATCACCTGTCACAATATATAATTATTATGCAGTTTCACTATCAAGTTGGTTGGAATAACTAAGAATAATAAATTAATAAAAAACTGCGAAATTACTTTCCGAACAAATGAATATTTCGCAAGTTGTATCTAGTAGGTAGCCCCATTATGGTTTGGTGGATAGGGGTTTTTTGCAATTCAAGCAGTGCGTTGTATGTGAAAACACGCTATTGTATAAAGTTGAAGAAAGGAGACTTTTTTTCTATCGTTACGACCAAAATGGGTCTAGTCGAAGATGATGACAACCATTTTGTGACTCAGGTTTGAGTTGCGAACCTGAGCAGCTGAATACATGATTGTTGGACATTTTTCAGTGCTATCCTTTTTTAAAGATGGTTCGTCGCAGTGCTCTGTCAATCAGCAGGCTCCGACAGATCTGAAAAAGCGCCAGACAGCAGTTGCGATCTTCTGCGTCTCGTCAGTGGTGCGCGTTTCTTGGTCCCCTGCCGGGTTTTTACCCCCGACTTACATGTGCCAGCAGATTGTCCCTATGCCATGGGTGACGACCGCGGAGCTGCATGACTGACAGCTGTCTACTATATATCGCTGCTCATCCTCCACTGCAATGTCAGTTACGTACGACGCAGAAGACAGTGCTTGGCTTCATGGAACTAAGACATTCCGCAGAGCGACTGTGTAGCACTCAGCACTGCTATCCGGTGATCTTCCAGACGTGTTCAAGTCTCCTCTGACTGAGAGGACTGCGACGACACCTCAGAAATTGCACCCAAATCCCACTACCATCGTTTTACTTGATTGTTCTTAATGGTGCAGTATGTAGTGTAGGTCGTACAATGAATTTGTATAGCTCCGTTTGTAATTCAGACAGAGATTGCTTCAGGGGTGTGGCCGGTTAGTTAGGTGGCTTTTACGACTAGTACTGGGTGTTAAACCACAATTCCTAAATCCTGAACTGTGTCAAAGGTTGGGATCATGGTAGCTGCAAGACGTGTGAAGCCTTTAGTTATGCGGCAGCTGTACCCAGGTACTTGGCATAAACTTACGGAGAATTTCGCTGACAGGCTTTCGCTCTATGCATTCTGTGTGGATAGGTCTTCATGTACGCTACGAGGCATAGCCGTAATTGGTCTGGCAGCAATGTGCAGACAAGTTTGACCTCACTTGCAAACAGTAATGAGCATTCATGTTTGATAATGTGGCATATGTTGTTTTTGCAGATTAATGAGTGTAGCAATGCAAGCCCAGTTTGCAGTACGGAACATCTGTTTATTTGTTCTAGTGTAGAGTTGTGACAGCCCACACGAATTCATTGGGATCGATCGTATACTTTGAATAGTTAGTTGGATTAAATTAATCCACAATAGAGATAGAACTTCGTCACATTGAGACTCATTCAGACTTCATTCACACTCCCAGAAAAGCATATACGCGCGTTTCATCCTTTCGGAAATCTTTAGTAGTGCGCATTTCATCGGGCCATGGTAAGGCTCGAAGGCAAACTCGACTGTTGCCAGTCCGTGGTTGAGACCACTGAGCTACGGGGTACGGCAACGACCATCGTGAATAAGTTACTAGATGTGATATAGCGCCGCTCACTATCCACTGACTTGCACGCTACTATCGTGCAGAGGTCCTTAAGCGACGAACGTACCAAACTTAAGACGCCAATTAACTTATGCATATTAAGCAGTTTGGTCTGCGTACTGATTACAGAAGAGTAGTAGGGTGAGTTGAATGGTGTAGATAGAAATTCGTCACATCTAAACTCACTCAGATAGCCATCACACGCCCGGAAGGACACTGTACGCCCGTTCGCTCCTTTCGGGGAACGTCAGCATTGCGCATTCCATCGAACCCGGGTAGGGCTTGAACTCGCAACTCGACTGTTGCCATTCTTACTCAACTTATGTCGCCCCGCAACTTTAGGGATTATAAGCAATTTGTCTTCGTACAAATCAACTGCCCCCACTACTCCTCTGTAATCAGTACGCGGACCAAACTGCTTATAATGCCATAAGTTAATTGGCGGCTTAAGTTTGGTACGTTCGTCGCTTGATGAGAGAGCTACCCTGACCTCTGCACGCTAGGAACGTGCAAGTCAGTGGGTAGTGAGCGGCGCAATATCACATCTAGTAACTTATACACGATTATCATTGCGTACCCCGTAGGTCAGGGGGTCTCAACCACGGACTGGCAACAGTCGAGTTGTGGGTTCGAGCCCTACGAGGATCCGATGGAATGCGCACTGCTGACGATACCCGAAAGGATGAAACGCGCGTACATGCTTTTCTGGGCGTGTGATGGCCGTCTGTATGAGTCTAGATGTGACGAATTTCTATCTATACCATTCAACTCCCACTACTATTCCTTTGTGATCCAGATTATCTTATCTACATCGGGCATAAAGGTATTTGGACCTACCGAGTCTTCGGCTCTCACTTTCGTTTTCCAAACTTGTGGAGTAACCCATATATTTTAAGTTTCAATCCATTTCATGGTAATCCGGTGTTTATTTCATGTAACTATTTGCTAAATGCTACCGGAAAATAATGATGCATGATTTCTAGGACCATGAGGTCAGCAGAAGCCGAAACAGCATGAACTATAAGTTCCAAATTGCGGTATGTCAAAGCTCTCGTTGCAAGTGGAATAAGGGCCAACCCAGCGGTTTTGAAAATCAGTGCTGTGCGTCCAAACTGGCCTTTCAATTTTTGGATCAACCCCAGGATTTTTATAGATTTTGGCAACTGATATCTTCATACTTAGGTCACTGAATTTCACACGCGACGCTTATTGAAGTGGTCAAGCAATCATAATTATTTTTAGAGCACCGACCGTTTTAAGAGTTACGCTACCTATTTCTAAGCCATGATCACAAAATAGACAGATTGGACGTTTGGCGAGGATTTGGGAACGAGTAGTTCAGTGGAATTTTGTGTTTTTCTTTCATGCCTATATGAGACCATGAAGTTACGGTTAAAATAATTTTGGATATCCTCGTCGAATTCGGTGGATGCTTTGTGGGTGTGTGGGCGAGCTGCTTCCTCTGGGAATTCTTCCTTCCAGCAACAATGATGCTGTGTTTCATTCCCGAGATTAGAACAAGTGTAACCCAATAAATGAAGGCGCTAACTATGTGCCACATATGT